TACCTCGACACCCTTTCACTTCCAGGTGTATTTGCGGGAAGGTAGCTTGTGTCCCTTTTGTGCAGCTATATATATTCAGTTTCATTAATAGAGTCAGAGATGTTTATGGTCCTTGGGCCACTGGATTTCATCTAGTAATTCATGAATTACATCTATTTTCTACAAAGATAGCTATACTTAATTTAAAGTATGTTTGCGATACATAGGGATCTAGCAGTAGTGATGCAACACAGACCATAATTAGCAACACCCACACCCCCAAAAAATCCCAATCCTATTTTACATTTTGACTTTACTAGGAATTATATCTTGATTGATTGAGGGTTCAGCTGGGCCCTAGCAGTTAAATAGGACATTCTCTATGGCTGCAAACAGACATCACATTTATCTTGGGATAAACTATTGTTTTCCCAAAACAAAGTGCAGTCTTGCAGATATCCATGTCCATTGTTCCAGGATAAATCCTAAAAAAGTTTCTGGGATGAGAGAAAGTAACAGTTTATCCTAGGATATTGCAAAGTACATCTATACAGTTATCCTGGTACTGTATCATTGAATCAGTGGAAGAAAAGTGGCACTGCATTCAGCTGCTCACTAAACCCTGATTAAAAGTGTAATGTTTGTACACACCAATTTTAGGATATATTTGGTCTGGGACAAACACAGGACCATCTTATCCAGGGACAAATGCAACATCTGTTGCTAACTTAAGATGAAAGAAAGCATTTTAATAGTTACGTGTATGCAGCTTATATGGTTTTATGCGTGCTCTCAGACAAAACTATCTTAGGTTTCTATAAAGTCTACTAAGTTGGCACTTCCTTTCTTATTTTTCAATGAAATACATACAAATTAAGGTAACCCCTTTTTTTAATTTTAAAGGGTACAGCTGTAGTCATCAGGCACTGTGGTAATAGCCAGGTGTTCATTTCCTTAGCCAAAGGGCTATACTGTATGCTGTGCCATTGGACAATCATTCAAAAAACCTAGAAAGCTCAGACAGCAGAAATCTGTGCTCAGCATGGTAGCTCTTTTTTTGGCTCAGATAGTTATGGTTTCTAGAAAAAAAAAATAAATAAATAAATAAATATATATATATATATATATATAGAGCCTTTGGTTCCAAAAAATCAAAGCTTTCTCCTGATACTTCAGGGACAATATTCTTCTCTAAAAAAAAGGAAAACTCCTGGGTGCCAGTACAATGGTTTTTCCCAAAATGAGTTTTACCATGGCAGTGTATTCATCAGACTTGCAGACAAAAACATAATAAGAATAACAATAATGATAATTAATATAAACAATGATGTATTGGAGTACTGTCCAGCCTTGTATTGTTTTTTTCCCAAACAGGAAACCTGCTTTCCATACAAGAGAAAAGATTGGGGGTTTTGGTTTATTTTTTAGTATTTATGCATAATAATGACCAAGGTGCTTGGGGGGGGGCATGGAAAAATATATATATATATGAATATATATATGCATGCCATTGAGGAAACGTCTTCTTTCACTTTCTGTGTGTGCATATGTGTGTGCGCATGTGTGTGTATATATGTGTATGTGTATGTGTGTGTGTGAATCTATATATCTATATATGCATGCCATATGCATGCCATTGAGGAAAAGTCTTCTTTCACTGCGTAACCCCATTGAGGTTAAAGAAACAAATCAAGATTCCACAATATCCTCGCATCAATTTATACTTGTATTAGTATAGGATTTGAATAAAACTGATCTGTTATTTGGGGTTTTTTCAGATGTCTGAAAAAGCCATACTTAATGCTCCAAATTCCATAAGCATAATGACTGATTATACCTTGCATTGACATAGAGTCTTTCATCTAAGTGTCCTAAAACCTTTACAGTACTGTACTTCAGGAGTTTGCTAATGACAATAATAAAGAATAATAATAATGAAGAAACAAAGATCACTTGTTAAAATTACTATTTTTTCATTACTGGAACATAGTGCACTTTTGGTGAGTAGCAAGAGCTGAAGCTCTTAGAGCAAGGCCCCCAACTGATGTAAATTAGTATAGCATAACTGAAGTCAGGGAAACTACACTGATTCACGCTAGCTGAGAATCTAACCCTTGATGTTTACAAAGCAATTATTTGGAGATAGTACCTGTACTCACTGGGCGTCACCATCTGGCTACTTGTGCTTCATCAGATGCCACATAAGGAAGGACATTTGGTTAGGAAGTAGCTTCATCACACTTGTAAGTCAAAACACTTCCCTCATTCCCAGGAGCCCAACTAGAGTGGAGGACTTGCTGAAAAGGGAATTTATACTAAAAATAAACATAACTATATCTATTTGGCATCCTTCTGGAATTCCACTGACATTGGACAAAAATCTGGCTTGTAGTAGGAAACCAAAATTCTTTATTAAATTAGGATAATTACATTCCAGGAAAAGATACACTGAATAGTAATTTCACCACAAGCCTAATTTTCCATTGCTTTATAGATGCAAGCATGTATGTCAATGTAGACAGATTCTAAAACATCAAGAACAGAGAAAGGAGCTTTTTGCATTCACTTCATACAAGTGCAAATGATTTAGATGAGGTGTAGGAGAATGGAGAATCAAGCTCTGTGCTTATTAGAAATCAGTGAAAATACCCTGAAGACTGACAGAAGATTTGCATGTTAGAATGCCTTTGCAGCAGTAAAGCTTTTAAATAGCAAACACGAATGTTCCCTAGTCTATTCTTTATTTTTATATAAAAAAGAAGCTTCGTTCATTAACCTGTGCTTAAACTGACAGAGTAAGGAAAATGGGTAGCATAACAAATTAATTTGACCAGAGGCTTTCTTGTCTACATATGTATATGGAATAGTGCAAAAGATTGAGGGGAAGGAGGTGATAATCATAGCTTCCCATAAAAAAAGTTTTTTGAAGCTCTAAAATGGAGAGTCCAAGATTCATCAATCCTTCATTAATATTTTTCCTCATAATGTACTTTTTCAATAGTTGATTATAGGCTGATAGGGCATAATACAAAACACCTATTCTTCTGCTGTAGAGCCTCACCAGAAGCCATGTTGAGTTTGAATTATCAGCCTGCACACTGATATGGTGGGTGAAAAAGGTTTAAATTGAAAAAGTGAATTGCCTGATAGATTTCTTTCAGCTAAATGGCTGTTCTTCTACTGTTCTGTAGAGAAGAGTTTTGCATTTGCCAAAAGCAATTGCAAGAAGGAAAGAACTGAAATTTGTTGATATATTAAAGCGGTCTACTTTGTTTTCTCACTTCGCAATCCACTTGTAGAAACAAGTCTTTAAAGACTTTAAGGATAGCAAAATAACATTTCAAAAGATCTGTGGGAGGAAAGAGAATTAGGCTTTAATTCTTCTTTTTTTTTATCTGGTCTTCAATGCAAATCCTGAGGGACTCTCTGTTTCCATGTATAGTTATTATTGGTTATTTCTATTTTAGTAACAACTATACATGATCTCATTAAAGATCTAATTTCACTAAGCATTATAAAAACATAGTACAAGGACAATCTCTGTCCCAGAAAGCTCACAATCCATACATGTTAGCGACAATTAAAGAAATGAAGGTAGGAAGAGGAAAAGCAAGGTAGTGGTCATCTCACTTGTCTCCAGTAGTCACAGCCCAATCCAGGCCAGGATGCCAGATGAAAATGATTCCCCTGAAGCTTGTAGACACTGCTTTCTCCTAGTATGCTCTCTTTTGCATGTAGTACATATAGCCAACCATTGTCTGTTTTATGTTTTACTTATTCTTGCTATTGTATCCTTGCTATCCTTGTAATAAAGACAGCCAGCTGAGGAGTCACTTGGTCATAGAATGGCTCACATCAAAGTTTATTTTCTCTGGGTTCAAACTTTAATTAATAAAATACAAAACTAGGCAAGTTTTCCAATTTGTGTGTTTGAATAATAATAGGCAAACATGAGAATTCAATAAATCACCTACTAATAGCTCTTAGAGACTCCATGGCCATACAACAGAGTTGCTATCTCAAGTCTTGTTACAGAAGCTGCGATTTTATTTAAAATCATATATCTGATAAGGCAAATTAATAATTGTGACATTTCTAGTTGGATAAATGATTAATAACCAGCTGTGCCTGTGAACTTATAAGTTGAAATGCAAGTCTCAAAATCTGTTGATGCTTTTTTTGGCATGGAGAAAGTAGGTATTGGTACCTAATATGAAATGATGTTGCAAAGGACAAGTTAAGCACTTTGTTGAGGCTTTTTTGGCATGGAGAAAGTAGATATCAGTACCTAATATGAAATAATGTTGCAAAGGGCAAGTTAGCACTTTGTTTGCCAAATTAACTTTCAAAGACTGTGTAGGTTACCAAGTTTGACTCTCTACACATAAATCTTTCATGATTGACAGGCTGCTCTAAAATAGCTTTGTTGAGAAAGATAATCTTTGGCAGGCAGCTTCAGAAGTTTGAAACTCTGGAAGGGATGAAAAGAAAACCCCACTTTTGCATTGAAATGGATTGGCACCTCTGTGAAATTTGCCTGGGAATTATAAGCTATTTACTGTATTCTGTGTTGTTTTCTTTTACCATGTCGCCTGTGGTTCTTTTTATCTTTATGGTATTTTGCACATGGAATGTGAAATAGTGAAACATTGGGGTGAGGGGGTGGGGTGTTATTAGAAAGTTCTGTTCACTCCTGTTTTATTGCAGGTTGGGAGTATTAGTTTTATGGTACCTAAATTTATGGGTATATATTTTATGGGAAAGCCCAATGACATGTTCAGTGTGCTTCTTCAAACGCTCTCAGTGTTTCTGCTTGATTCACAACTTTGTAGGGTATGAATCAGTCCCTTTCTATAACTCTTAATCACCTTTTTAACCTAAATAATGTAGTGTGGCTTTTATTTATGGTCGGTGTCATCATCTTCATTATGTAAACCTACTCAAAGTAATAGCAGAGTACTTCCCTAAAAACTGCTTGTCAGCCACTGATTGGCTCAAAAGACAGAGTTTTTTTACTGGGTATAAGCAGCTGAAACAAAATATACAGGCAGCTCATTTCATATTTAAGTCAAAAGCAAGTGTTGGCACCACTGTGTGATATGGACAAGTGATGCTTGATGTCAAGATGTGAAATTGAAGGGAAAATAGCCTGGCAGAGTAGTCCCTTTTTTAAAATACACTTTTTTCTTAATTTATAGTGAGAGGTCAAGGAAGAATGAGAGTTCCCTTTGTTATTTGTTGACCATTCAAGCCCTGCTTTCTGTGTGTGTAGTGGTCAAATGGAATTGATAGAAAGCCCTTGTGCCCTTATTTGTCTTCCACAGGGTGAAGTGAAGAAGTAAAGTCTCCCAGCTGAACTACTATGAGGTCAGAAGCCTTGCTGCTATATTTCACACTGCTACACTTTGCTGGGGCTGGTTTCCCAGAAGATTCTGAGCCAATCAGTATTTCGCATGGCAACTGTGAGTATGAAAAGCCCAACACAGTTATTTTTTCACATGCCAAGGAGGAATGTACTGATCACTGGGTTTCAGAACTACAAAGCTTTCGTTGATCTGACGTGAACTGTGTTTCTTCCTGATGTCTCATCAGATCAGCCAATATACATTCCCAGAATGATAAAACTAGAGCAGAATACTTCTGCACTAGTCTGTGATGGCTGAGTGGTGAGCTGCTTGCTTTCCTTCCAAAGGAATAACCTACACTTGTCTTTCTGCAATGCAGTCAGTCCACAGTTCCTTTTTCTATCAAGCAGCAAGTAAAGGATGTTTCTTTTTCATGAACAGATATTTCTCCCCAGAATTGCAAAAGCAGAGTTACTGAGCACCAACTGCATGCCAATAAGTATTGAGTGTAACACTCCAGGAGATCTATGTTGCAGTGGACCTTGAAGTAATTTAGTAGGCCTAAATAAATAACCAAATTTGTTTTCTCAACCTCTGATGGATCTTTCTCCCACTTAGCCCTTGGACTCTTTGCAGTAGAGCCAGGTGAAAAATTTGACAAAGAAAATATAGTCAGTAAAAGCCAGAAATTTTTGCAATAATATTTTTTTAAACAGACAGTTGGCAGCCTGACAGAAGCTAACACATGGTGCTCCCAGTCATCATTAAGACATAGTGGACACAGTGTAAGGAGCTGGCTTCAGCCAAGACCATAGTTCTTCACTGTTGTGGTTACCTTAATGAATTAAATCTTAATTATTACTTCTGGCCCCTGTGTGCCCAGAAGTTCAGGGTTGGTGTACCACTTCTGAATTTATGAAAGTGCAATCAGCAATGACAGATCAACAGTGTTAATCCATGTTGAGAAATAAAGCTTCTACTTCTCTGTCATGAAATGCTTAAATGAGAGACTGCAAACATGTAGGCCACAACTCTTGAGAGCAGTAAGATTAAAAAGGAAAAACAATGTTTAACAGAGGTAGACTTTGTATTTTAAATATTAGTACTGTCAAGTAACTCTCGGTCACAAAAATTAACCTTCTAAACATACATTTCTTTGATTTTTGTTAATCTATTTACCCAGGACTTCTCAGTAACTGGTTTTACACCTGGGCTAACGAAGCAGAAAGGTATGAAGTGACTTGCCTAAAGTCACACAGTGAGTCAGTAGCTTGGTTAAGATTAGTGAAGAGGACTCTGTTAGAAAGAATTAACAGAAAATAAGAGCAGTAGCCTAGTCTTTCAAGAAATAATCCCTTGAGTTAGTTCCATTTATCAAGGGAAAACACATTTTGAGGAAGGGTTAATGTTTGGCCAGGTGCCAGTTATTGCTGCATAATGAGCATGGACAATACTTATGCTGTCTGGAGCTTGTCTTATTTCTGCTTGCTCTTACCTTCTGTGTTCTGGGGGCTTTTTCTGATTGCCTCTCTTCTTGGGAACTGGTTGAGTAGCCTTTGTATCTACATGCTACCAGTATACATGCATTAGAAAAGCACTGAATAGACAGACAAAGCTCTCAGTCAGACATGTTCTCAAGCTATCTCTTATTGTAGGGTCTGTATACAGATTGCATATGTCACATATCCATTAGTGCACATTGAAGAGACCATCAGAGTGGAGTGAATAAGTGCTGTCACTGCCTGTCAGAGTTGGGGGTGAAAGTTGGCTTACTCGTAGTACATATCTGGACCACGGCTTTCCGTTGGCATTGTTGTCCAGCTGCCAGGAAAATTGTACTACCAGACATGTTGCCAAATAATGCAGCCACCTTTTTTTACTTAATAAAGTTCAATTCATTACTACCTACAGCTTCTAAAAAATACTTAGACCTGCCCTATAGTGGTAGACCAATCCTCTAGGAAACAGGTGTAGCTGACAGTTTTGTACCTAGCAGTGCCAAGTCTTTTGCTCTAACCACTTACCAGCCCAGCCATTGCAGTGATTGATGGACTACTGTAAAATAGCTTTGTCCTGAAAGATACACTTGGCAGGCAGCATCCAGCATTTAAAACGCTGCAAGGGATGAAAGGCAAACTGTGTGAAAGTGCTGAGTACCTGTATGCCAAGAGCTTTCAGAGCAGTTCTATGGTCTCAAAAATCACAATTTTTGTTTTCTAAAAACATAATGACTTTCTCTGTGACAACTGCAAACAGTGTTTATAACCTCAGTGAGCTATGCAACCCACTGTGCAATTACTTTAGGACCCCAGACTGCTTTGTGGGGGAAAGAGAGAGCGCAAGAGCAGGAACTATATATTTTGGTAGTGGTGTTGGTGATGGAATATTCCATGTTAAGATGATTTCATTATGTGATCTTCTATCCCTCGTCTTTCTCCCCAATCCCATTCCCATCTCACAGATACAAAACAGTATCCGGTGTTTGTGGGTCACAAGCCAGGACGGAACGCCACACAGAGGCACAGGCTGGACATCCAGCTGATCTTAATAATGAACAGAACTCTCTACATTGCTGCTAGGTCAGTACTGCTTTGCTGATTCCCTTCTTGCTTCTCTGAGCAAAAGTAGATATTCTGAATTCATTTCTGCCAGACATTTATTTTAGGATGTTATCACATCTGGAGGACATCACACTGTCTATAATACATATGAAAAGCCATGTTAGTTAGTCATCTAACACAGTTCAATTCTGAAAGGTACTGAGCATGTGCAGTGCTCACTTTAACCCATCAGTGTGAAAGGCTCTGAGTACCCCAATTAACTGTTTAGCACCTGGGAGAATAGAGTCCATAATTTATTTCCTTAAAGAATTTCTGATTTTGTTTGAGCGTACAATTAATTACATATTTTGGAAAACAAACACAAGTGATCCATTGTGTGCATGAATACATATTTGAATAAGAGTAATTAAAGTTTAATGTTGCTTTCCAGGCATATTTTGTTGTAAAACAAAACAAAAAAAAGGAGAGAAATATTTACTGCTGTTCTGTTGAACAGCGGACAAGGTTAACTGAATTTATTTTCTGGATTTCTTTTTTAGCTAAAGAGGTATATTGGCACAGCACATGCATTATTTTGTGTAAATTGGCATAGCACTATCAGATGCCTTGGGAGCTACACATAGATATCAGTTGTAGACCTCACACAATTGTATATAAACACTTCTTTTCCCCCAAACATGTAAACTTTTTAAAAGTAGCAGAGGTCTTGACTTAGTGTTATTACTACACTAAGTATAAATGTCTCAGAGTGGTGCCTTGCCAGCAGCTACATAAGGAATACAAGTAAGAGCAGATAAGTCAGAGTCATTAGGGGTGTATCTACACAAAACGTTTACTGCGCCATAGGCTAATTAGCTGCTTAGTAAACATGGTGCATCTACACATGTGCCCCTATTAGGCTGGAGTAAACTAATTAACTCCACAGCACAGTAAATACAAGTACTATCCTGCTCCGAGATTTTTTACTCTGGAGCAATGCATGTGTAAACACTGCCCCAGCTGGCTGGGGCACAAGGACACTTCAGTGTTGGGGCTGTCTGTTGGCTAGTCCTGCTCTGGAGCACCCTCATGCCCCAGCCAGCTCCTCCACAGCACGTTGAACCAAGGGGAGCAGCCTCAGGCTGGCAAGGACCCCTTGCTAACTGGGGCTGTTCCGACCAGGCTTAATATGCCGCAATCCTGGGCGCACGTTAAAACAGCGCACCTGGGAGCAATAAACTCCAGAGCAATAAGCACCAGAGTGAGCCTTAGTTGACTGATTGCTTACATTGAAGAGTAGAATTGTTGAGTAAGGAAGTGACATTTTTAAATAGCCACTTTTTCTGACCATGTCTGCATTTTTAAGGTGCCTCATCAGTGGAGAAAGTTTTGGATTTAACTGCTAAGCTTATTTCTCTCTAACTGGTTTTCATGATTGGTTTGCCTTTCCACAGTATCTTGTAGTTTCTTTATGATTCTGCAGCAAGTTCTTCCCAAAGTCACCATCCATTAAAAAAATGTATACAGTCTTGGAGCTATGACAGTGTAGGGTGTAGGAGTTTTAAATTAAGAATATAATTTGCTAAACAGGGCCAGTTTATCTTTTATTTTTTTAATATAACCTTCCTTGACAGTCCCTATATGCTGTTGGCCTGATCCTTCCATTTGCTTTAACCGTCTCCTAAATATTACAAACTGTGCTTTGGATGTTTGCAACTCCAGCCCCACAAAGCACCAGGTCTCAAACTCTGATGCTCAGCAGGGCAACACATTGCACTCTTATAAGCTTCATATCTTAGGAAAGAGTGCACAGCCCCAATAAACACCTGGCCATGCAGCAGTGGGATAGGGAATGGAACTGGCAGCTTCAATATATAGTAACCCCAAACCTTTTACCTCTAACAGGCTGTAGCTGCTGAGATAGCTCTTGATGTGTGAACACCCAGTATGGTTTGTTTCTCCCCAAGGAGTGTTTTGGGCTGGAGGACTCATGCTGTGAATGCACTCACTGGTTATACCTCTGCCAGTTGTCCAGTCCTAAACTTTCCTTTCACAGTCTTCTGCCGAGAAGAAACATGGAATTTGGCTTTCTGGCACAGAAAGTATGCAGAGAGCCCTAATAAGGGCTTTCTACTCTGTGCCTCCCTGTAAAAACACAGCATTTATGTGTTTTGGTCCTTTTGTGGTTATGTATATGTAAGAAAGAAAGAGTGGGGATATAAGGTGGTGGTAGGGTTTTCTTCTTTTTTGTGATTAAGTTTCTTTCTTTCTCTCTCTCTTTCTCAATTGGCAAATTATTTGCTGTGAACATTAAGGAAAATCTGCTTTGTTCACTTTACTCTTCTGTACCCAAAGTTTATTCCCAGGATAACTTGTAGGTGCACAAGTAATTAAAAAAAAATCTGTGTGTATATGTGCATGTGCACATATTCACGGAATATATAATAAATAACATGTATACGTACACACATGCATATATAAAATGTTATAGTCAAATAGAAAAGTGCTCAGTTATTACCAAGAACTAACAACCTGCAAAAAAAGAGCTAATCCATTTTAATTTCTACAGACACAGGAAATCTTCTTATAACTTTTTTTGTTTCATAACTTTAAAATTCTTAAGTGGATACTTTTCCTTCTCAAAATCATATTGAAAAAAAAATCCCTGCTGGGCTGAGCAGCCTATGTAATAAATGCTAAAATTCAAAGGTCATTTTTGTCTTCAAGTGATAAACTCCAGAAAATGACTCATCTTTCATAATTAACAGGAGTGAAAGTTTATACCTATAACACTGCATCTCCTTTAGTGGTGGCAATAAACTTGTAGACTGAAGCAAATGTGAACACAGTCAAGGGTGTTCATTAAAGAGCTTTGTAACAGGATTAATTAAAAACTGCAGTTAGCATAAATCCCTTAGCTATGATATCAGATGCTTCTTTTATGCTGTTGGGTTTTTTTTTGGTGTCTAATTACAGTGATGCTAAGTTTACATTCATGCCCCACCACCTGAAGAGCAGTCAAAACAAATTATTAAACATTGAGGTTTTTTGAGAAAATCAAGTGCTTGGTTTTCACTCTGCAGTCAGTTTCCTTGAGGAAAAAGGAACCAACTCAGATATGAGATCACCTAGCAAACCACTACTGATTTGACTGGCATAAAACACAATCTCTGTCGGTTGCCTGTTTGTGCAAATGAGGCAGGAGGGTCTGTTTGTGGCTTCTGTACTGACTGTTGTAAAGCCACCACAACATATTTTCTAAAGAGTTCAGTGCAAATTCCAGGCTGAATATCCAAATTGGCATAACTCCACTGCTATACAAGCTTGACAGTCTGTCCCCTCCAGATGTAAAGGGAAAGCCACAGAATCACATACATACACCTTGCCTGAAGTTCACCGTCTCCTCTTCCTGTTGCCTTGTTTGGTGGTTGTTTTTGTTCACATGATCTGTCACCTCCCATATGTACGTACAGAATGGTTCACTGAGCCCCTGCCATACCAGAATGATCCCCTCCTCCTTTGCGGTTATTATACATTTCCAGACATTGCACTGAATGACCAAAGGTCAGGCTCAGCCAGTGTCATTATTTAAATTCTCTTCCTCCACAAGATTATGCCATGGCAACAAAATTCAGTTCTGCTGACTGGAGGTGGGAAAAACGGAAGCACTAGGATTAAGTCAATTTGTGTTAGAATAACTTAATTAGCAGAGAGCTATACACATACCACAGCCAGTAGGTACTGGGAGTTAGGCAGCATTGGGGAAGGAAAGGCAAAACAGTCCCTTATTGTCTGTAGTTAAAGAACTTTCACAAGCATTTGACACTTCTTTTCATTTTTGCCAGCACTGTGGGCAGCTACGCTTTAAATGTGCTACACGTGGAATGATTTACACTTATCTCAAAATCACATTTCATCGAGGTAATTCCATAAATTGGCATCTGAATTCTCCTTGGAGCATTTGATAAGCCAAGAGGCAAATCACTTAAAGGTGCCAGGGTTTGAGCGGTGCTAAAGTGGCTCAAGTTTCTGTCTGAATTGTACCACTTTATTTTTAATTGTTTTGTTTTAAAAAGCCCACCACAAACCAAAACTGATAATTAACACAAAAAGCTGTGCCAGAAGAGGGCCAATTGGAACACTTTTTGAGGTGTTGCCAATGCATAATAAGCAGTTGTTAATTTACAATTCAGATTTTTGCTTCTACTTGTATATAGTAGCACCAATAGGCACTAAGAATATTCTATATCAAACAGAAATGTTGTAGTCATCTGTAAAGCCAATATCAAGCTAATAAGTAATTTTATTCCAGCACTAATGCTGACCGTAGCTCCACCATTAAAGTCAAGTGAATAATAAGCCAAGGCATTAAACCTCTCTTGAAAGTAAGTGACAGTTCTGGTTTGTACTGAAGACTGAAGAAAAAAAACCCTCCTTGGTTTGGCATCTTATAAAGCAAACTGCCTCCAGTGCAGGGGGAAAAAGTGGATTTTTTTAAAAGCCAGTTTCCATTAACAATGCTTCCTTTTCTCCACGTGAGAGAAGTGTTGCTTATTATTCTTCTTACAGCATAGTGTTTTGCATCTGCTTTAGTTAGAGGCTAATATTGTTTCCCCCAAACCTGCTAAAATGAAGTTAATGTTGAAAGCAGAGACTTTCAAAATGGAAACAGTCTGCATCCTACTTTCAACAGACTCCTATGGAGACTCCTTTCAAGCTGTGGATCATTTTCCAGCTGCACAACTTCCTCCATTTTTGAAAAAGCCAATGTTATTTCAAGGAAAAATGAGTTTCTGAGTATTTTTCACCCTTCCTCCCCAGTTTGGCGCAGCTCCTACTGCTTTTTATTCATTTATTTGTTTTAAATTCTATGCCCCAGACAAAAATGTCCTTGTGTTCAGCTCTAGCAGAAGGGGAATGTTTAAAAATATCCCTCTACCTGTGTGCCTTAGTCTGTTTCCTATTTCTAAAGAGTGACTGGCAGCTAATTGTAGAAAAAGCCATGTTCTCAGCCAAACAGGAAGGTGAACACAAGCAAGAACTGTAAACTTCTCCAAGGGCATATTTTAGAGCTTAATTTGGCCATCAACCTGTGAAGAGAAAAATGACTTCTGGAAACAATTTTGTTGCTGTCAACCTTTTCCTTTCCATTTTGTCAATCAAATCAGCATGGCTGAAATTGGAAGCATAATTAAAAAAAAAAAAGCGTTAACTTCCCTTTAACCCTGAATGAGTAAATATGGCACACTGAAAACCGTCCCAAGAAGCTGGCAAAGGCTTGTCTAAGCAAGGTTGTAGATGATTTGAGGATGCATAAAAAATCAGCACAACAAGCCTGAAGAGATTTGGAACTAGTTTTTCGTCCTAAACCTCATGCATACAAATAATTTTAGGGTGGAGAAGAATTTTGATGTAACTCTTTTTTTTAGAATTTTCCTTCATCTTTAATGTAAAACAAGACAGCTTGTATACACTGGTACATTATCAGAAGAAGCAGACTATGCAGTCAGTAATGTTCTGTTGTACGGTCCCTGGTCTTTTTTGTGTGAGCTATGGGTTATCTTATGGGAGATAACTCTTTCAGTGGAAAATGAACTGTCTGACTACTTATTTGACTTTACATTCATTTATCTTTGTTTACAGGGACCATATTTATACTGTTGATATGGACACATCACATACAGAAGAAATTTATTTTAGCAAAGTAAGTAGCTTTTATCATCATCCTGAAACCAAGGACACTAGAAAAGGCAGACAATAAATAGGAAGAGGACACTGTTTCAAATAGCTTGCCAGCATTGCTGTACAAACTATAATAATCAAGTAAGATGGCATTACTAATCATATTTGGGGAAAGCTGGAATAGCAATCATGTCCTCTGTGAATTTCTGATAAGTGATTTAGCTGAGTTGATAAGTAATCCATCCTGAAATACACTGAGGTCCCTGGTGGAATATTCATCAAACATCTATTCATTTGTATTCTGTATCTTTCTATAATTGCTATACCATACTAATTAAGTGTACTGAAACTTTCTTCATAAAAGGCAAACTCTGCATATGTCTATATTGCCTCTGTAGCAATCTCAAGACCACCACCAAGAAGCCAACCATACCCACACCCCTATTGAAAAAATGTTCTGTGGTCACCATAAGTGCAGTGCCAGGTGCGCCCAGAATTGCCCTCAGATTCACAGCTGAGACTGAGATCTCGAGAGCATCCTTGGGTACATGGCACAAAGCAAATATACAACATTTTTTAGCAAGCAGTAAATGCCAAATTGGAGGAACTTGAAGGAGCTTGTTTCTGAGTGGTGGTCTCTGGATCACTGTGGAGGTAGTACAGATGTACCTGTAATTTTCATGTATAATTTTGTAGTTAGCTATACAAGCATGCAAATAAAATATTACTTTAACATCAGTTGAACCAAATCTGCGTTATATCCATGGGAAATTATAGCCAAATGAAAAACAATTTTGCTTGCATTTCTCTCCTGTGTGTTAACATGAATGTTGCTAGATATGGCCTCCTACTAGATTCTTTGTATTGCATGTACATTCTCTGCTAAGCTGTCTTGTCACTCTCCTTTTTTAAGCTATTTTGAAATATGTTCTCTTACTGTAAGCTGCTCTGAGCCTTTGCTAGGAATAGCAGCATATGAATTAAATGAATGAATGAATAAACAAACAAATTTAAGCTCTGAAGTTTTCAATCAAGTTTTATAAAACTTCAAATCATTAGATTTGACTATTCTGCACTCAGGTACTTGGAAAGTTTAGGACAGATTTGATAATTTGGTAACAGTAGTCTGTGTATAATCCAGTTCAAACATATACACACAAGTCTTCCAGGGGAACAGTGTTAGCAGATAAAATCTTCAGTACTTTGATAGGTAGAGGGCTCTCTGAGCCTGTTAGCTGACTTGAAGTGAGGAGAATTACCTGAATTGGATGTCTTTGTCTTCTGAAACACACCTTGCCAATGCACATACTTTGATTTGATAACTAATGAGTTTATAGTCCATTAACAGCAATTTACTTTGCAAAACAACATCAAATTATAGGAAATGATGAGAAAAGAAAACAAAATACTTTTTAAAATGTGCGTACATTTAAAAAATCAGCTTGTTGCTAAGTTCACTTGTTTGCAGGCTTTAAAAATGAGATAGGTTTCTAGTTTAATGAATAGATAGCAACATAAAATTAAGTGAATGTTCTGCATCACTGGTCTTTCATTGTTATGGTGAATTAATCACAGAGAAAGGGTGCAGAAAGCTTTCAATAAATATATGTTCAGCAGCTAGTCTCCCCTAGGGAACTCTTACTTCTGAAATCAAATGCAACAACCTCTGGGCTCTAATTGATTTCTTTCTTGATCCTTGCAGAAATTGACATGGAAATCTAGACAGGCTGATGTAGACACGTGCAGAATGAAGGGAAAACATAAGGTAGGCAATTTTCATTTCTCCTGCAGCTGCCACTTTAGTTTAGTTTCTTGACTATTATCTCAGGCTGTTCTCTGTGATGTAGAATGGATCATGCCATTCACTTCTTTGCTAGTAATTGCTTTTTCCATCAACTTATTGAAAGCTTTAATTTGCAAAAATAGTTTGCTTTTAATGTGATGAAACATTACGACAGCAGCCACAGCAACATCATGACATACTTGGGAGCACTGAGGATTATGGACACAATGGTAGATAAACGGACATTACCTAATGCTGTCTCAGGTAGCTACCTGCTGCTGTCCTTTCTCTACTTGGGGTTTCCTGAAGAACAAATACAAACCCCTAATAAGAAGTGTGTGTGTTCATAGATGCAGAGGGACTGATCCTTATCTCATATCAGTGTACTGGAGTGTAAACTGTGACTAACATTGGTGAGATCAATATCTGGCCCAGAGTTTCTGGAGCTGCTCCCCCCTCCACTACATCAGTTTTACTTCCGTTTGCTTCCTTGACTAAATAAGATGTGCAGCTGTCTTAGAACAGCAGATGTGAGAAGTGAGTCAGCCCTCAATCTTGAGCAAAGCTACAACTTTCAAACAAAATGTATCTATAAGAGAGAGAACAAAATCCAAACTACAATGTAAATATAATATCTAGGTTCCTAGCAACCATTTTTTAAATGACTAGAATTTTATTTCATTGCATTTCGTTTTCTGTCAGTTAAAACATTGTTGAAACAAGGCCCAGAATATCACAATGGCTACTGGCCAGTTTCATTTTAGATATGACCATGAAAATCAGGGCACGCAGATAAAGCCAGATATCCAGAATGTGCTGACTAAAATAATTTTTATTACTATTTTTCTTCAGGATGAGTGTCATAATTTTATTAAGGTTCTCCTAAAAAGAAACGAGGATACCTTGTTTGTCTGTGGAACAAATGCCTTCAACCCTTCTTGTAGGAACTATAAGGTATGCATGTCTTCTTGGGTTTACAGCTGTGTTCTTACAAGTTATGTATGTACTGTGACTGTAGTCAGGAACATGATATGCATCATTCAACATCACACAATTAGTCTTCACTTACAATATTGTTCAAGTTTCTGAGATTTGTCTGGATTGATGTAGACACTTCTTTGCAGCGTTTCCAAATTCAAGTATGTTGCCGCTTGACTTTCCTTCATAGTTGCAATAACATACAGTTTACTTCACACACACGTTAGTTTTCCAGATGTTCTTAAGCATAAAGTTTACCTACCATGGGCACATTTTAAAGTGGAGTCCTTAAGATCTAAGTATCCTGTTGGGACAGACCATTTTGAATCCATCTCTTGTCATGTGTCCAGTCTTGAATCCAGTGTAGAGCTTAGCTTTACAAAAATGTTATGTTTTTACTGCATCAGTTTGTGGGTATCTAAATACTTGGGAACCTGTGCAGGATTCCATGGGACTCTTCTGAAAGTGATTGATAGCAGATAACCACAGGGAAATGTAGAGGGGGAGAAGAAAGTGAGGAAAGTTGCCCACAGGCAGGGAACTAAGACAAGCAAGAGTGCCCTTGTCCCAAGGGCTATTTCTAAACATTATTCAGAGGGAAGGAAGATTCAGTTGGTATTTATAAAAAACAAAAAACAAAAACCTGACCCTCCTTATAATCGAGTCAGTGGTAAAATTTCCATTGACTCAAAAGTGCAGGATTGGGCCTAGAAATGTAAAGATAAACTGAAAACATCAGTAATCAAGAAAACAACTATGTCCATATCCACAAAGTCCCTAACTCTCACCATCCTTTCTCTGCCACACTGGTTTATCCTCCACATCTTAAGGCAGTGATGAAATCACCTTAAGGTGGCTGAAACAATATGCTGAAACTGCATATGCTAAATAATAAAATCATCCACATTGGTTTATCATCTGTGATGGCTCAAACCTAGAAAGACCTATCTTTTTTTCCCTTTCTGTATAGGAAGTTTTTGTTTCAGGGACAAGTTCCTTTCCTCTTAACTACATAATGCAAATTCTTCGTATAAAGGTATCAATGTTTGCACTAGTCTGGGAACTCTCTTCTCTTTTTTCTTCCCAGCCTCTCAGACACATCACACCATATTTTCCCAGAATGCAGCTAGGTTTCCTGTTTCCAGTTCTTTGTTTAATTATTCTAGCACTGCTTGCCATTGCTTAGCCCTCAATACAATTAATGCTGCTAACAAATCCCAAGTAGTCCCCTTGCTGGAAAGCTGTCTTTTAGTACAAATACAAATTTTTCTTGGCATCCTAATGTGAGGGATATAAATGGTCCTCTTTATCCTTTCTGCAGATGTTTCATTCCCCATGATATATGGCCTATGCTGATTTCTTCACCTGTTGCCATGCTGTCAGAGCCTGCATGGGTAATATCTCTGGGGGCCTACAGAAGGTCACTCAGACACCTGCACTGACTTTTTCTGAATATATTTCTAGCATTGTGGATGGCACCAGGGCACTTGAGACATGCCAAACAGAAGATAAGGGCCATCCCTCTGTGCTGCAAAGTGAAAGTGCAGATGAACCTGAAATGCTTTGCTTCACATAGAGGAAACGAACTCTGGAGCACAGCTCATTTCCTTTTACTGTCACTTTAAATGCTTTTCCATTTAAGAGTAAACACAACTGATTCCCTTCAGAAGATCTTGATAGAAAGGATACATGACAGGAAACAAATGATGACAAATCGTCCATTGAATGACTTAGGTCTCATAACATATGAGCCAAAAGTTGATTGGAGTAGCTTGATGGTGCTAGATAGATTATTTCTCACGCACTATGATTTTGTACTCTGATTTATACAGTATGTATTGTTCAAGTAAGTTGAATAGGTGGGAGGAATTTTACCCCAAAATCAATCATTGATCTTACTAGCTCTGCTATAATGAATCTTTAAATATATACGATCTGGTCCTTTCCCTGTCATTTACTGAAACCTCTTGGACTTCTGTACAAGGTTTAGCTGGTTATTTGTATAATTACCAGTACCTTATGCTGAATTAATTTCCCAGGGGTTTACACTTAAGTCTGACATTTTACAACTACTGCACAGATTAATTCTTGCTTGATAGTAAGAGGATTTTGTCTATGATGCATGCTTAATGGATACAGGAACGCATGGAAAGCAAATATTTCCAAATATGGAAAGCAGAACAAAAAATTGTGCAGTAATGACAATCCCAACCTTAGATGGGCAGAATACAGAGATAGTAACCCCAACATTAGGTGGGGGAGTTGTACAAACCAAAATCATCCTGATCTTCTTTTGGCTAGTATAGCCTGTATATCTTAGGAATGTTTGTCAGAACCAAAGGCCTCACAGGCCTTAATAGTTCAATAGGACGTTCGTGAACAGATAAACAAATCAGTGAAGGAATGTGTTAGAAGGGTGTCTATCTTAATGGGCACTCCTTCCTCGATAAATTATATATAATAACATTTTGCTTTGTTCTTACCTCACAGCCAGAAACACCTCTCCGCTCTGAAATGAAAACCATCATAAGTCATAATGCGGGTGACAAGTTCCTCTTTCTTTTTCTTGAAGAGATTTAAATTGGGGTATTTTGGATTTTTTTCAGATGGATACACTGGAGTTCCTAGGCGATGAGTTTAGTGGAATGGCAAGGTGTCCCTATGATGCAAAACATGCCAATGTTGCACTGTTCACAGGTAAATAAGGAGGAGTAAGAATAACCCATTTTTTTCCTTCTTCTGAGGTATGCTTGCCATAGTAAAGTACCTCTCATCTGAAATGCTGATTCTAAAATGTGGCAATGTGAGTGAGTAATGACTCAAAACAGGGGCATAAGGAACGCATTAGTGCAGGAAGCTTTGCATGCTGTGGGATTAACTTCTGTACCATAAACAACATTGCCTAAACCCTCCGTTTCCTGACTCAATATTTCAGTTTTACTGGATTCACGATAATAAAGCAAAATAATATTAGGCCAGATCAGTGCCAGGTAGAAGTACTACCCCTATTACCTCTGTGAAAACCAAGGACAAAACTCATATTGACTTTAGTTGGAGCCATATATGGTCTCATGTTTCTTTAAAATGAAGTTGGCCTTCATAATGAAGGCCAATTCAGAGCTAGGTTGTTGTGTTTTTTACTGGGATTGTGCCCTTCTTTGAATCCAAAAAGGAAGGTGAGGTGATGGTTTTTTTAAAAAGAAACATCTTACTGTTTCAGTATCAGTTGTGGTACAAGGAGAAAATGTGTTAATTCAATAATAATTTATGCAGCATGCAACAGAATGCAATTAGCTCTAATTTCTTTCATAGTTAAAAAAGTAAGTGCTTATAAATGGGATTAATTTGGACCATTGATTATGAAATGGTATTTTGGTGTCTTTCCTTTATAGATTCCTAGTTAAATTGTTTCATTATTGAAATTGTGTTAGTGTGACCCCTCACTCACCCCGTGTCAGTTTTGGCATGCAGTGGAAGTATAGACCCCTCTATGATGACATCACTGCCTCTTTTGAACAAGTGTTTTGCTAGAAAACAGTGACCAGCTGCTTCTTGACAAAAACTTTTTAGAAATCCATATGGAAGTTGAAATGTTCATAAAAAGTTCAGCCTCTCTTAACCAGATATCAGTGCTTCACACAAAAGGTCACAATGCCACCTACAGTGTCTGAACTGACGTGCTGTTAGATAAGGAAGAGGTCCTATAATGGTGTAATTTAATTTCAAAATAATAATAAGCAATCTCTTAATAAGAGAAGGATTTTGAATGCTGTAGAATCCCCTTTCTCTTTATCAATTTGTTCTTGAATCAATAGACTTAAGGAAGACTTTTTAAAGAAACCCTGTGTTCTGTATTTCAGATAGCAGCTTCTGTGAATTAAATACCGCTCCCACACCCTAGAAATGTGCCATAGAAATGTCTTGCACATTCTTATAGTATGCTTTCATTTTAAGAATATTCCAAAGAGTAAGATATAGTGCAGGTTTCACAAATTAGATATTTGAAATATGAGGTTCTGTGTTTCAGGACTGACCAGTCCTCCTAGCTATCTCGCATAGAATAGCTTAGGAACAGCCCATGAAAACACCCAACATGACAAAAATGGATGAAACAGCATAAAGAAAAGGAAGGAACTGACAGTCATATTCTGTTGGATCCCTATTTGCAGTAGGAGAGGGGAGGAAAAGGAATCTACCAAACACTGCGCTGAAGGAACAATTTTAAGAATTAGAAGGAGAGTCAAAGGAGGAAAGAACTGTGGTAGGTGACAGGACAAGATGTCAATCAGGAGGTCAAGAAGAGTGAGGATACAGTGGAAATGTGGGCAGAAAAAGGTCATTAGATACTTTGGTAAGAGTAATTTTAGAGTAATGGAGATGGCAGGAATTAGAGTAGAGAGGGTCCAAGTTGGAACTGGAAGAAAGGAAGTAGTAAGCAATTGTAGAAGGGTGAATTTTTTGAACAGTCATCAGTGAAAAATTCAGATGGCAATTTATTTTGCAAAACTGAATATTCACAACTTGTGTTGTATTCATTAGTTACATAAATCATCTAATGAGAGAAGAGAAACAGTAGTTTCCAACTTATATAACCAGCCAGTTTATCGTTGACCATCCACATCCCAAACAGTTTCAGTGACTATCTTTCAAATAATCTGAAGATCAACAGTTATTCACTGATGAACTCTATGAATCGGTTGAAATACAAAATTTAATGTAAAGCTGACTTATCTGTACATAATTCAGAATTAGAGTTAAAATGTATCAAACAAATTGTTATAAAATGGATCAAGTAAATTTACCAAGACTTGTATTGGAAAGTTATGAAGAATGAATCCCCAGGAGCACCATTCATAACAGCCAGGGTAGTTACTCTAGTTGACCTCCTTCTCTTTTCATTTGCATGTGTGACCCTTCTTACTATATAGCTATTACAGCTGATGTGTGTGGAGTGTAATTGGTCAAACAGGACTTAGCTGGAGAAAATTAATATGTGATTATATTGAAATAAGATCAGAGATCTAAAGCTAAAAACATATAGTTTTCTATTTTTAAGTTGATTTTATTTGTCTGTTTTTATTGATCTTTCCCCCCCCTAAGAAAGCAAGACTAGTTTTAAACAGCAATATTCTGATTGGGATTGCATAGCGCAAAAATAAGACTGTAGATCTGTTTTTTCAAATCTTGTAGGGAA